CAGTTTTTACAGTGGCAATACACTGTTGTAATGATAAAACACTGTTATTTCCGCAGAATTAAACCGGACTGGGTTTTGAGAAAAGATAACATGCAAGAAGTAGTGGATCCGCTCCAAGCCATCGTGATGGTGATGGATACGCTTGGCATTGCCTGCTACTGAAATGTAAATTAACGTATTTGTACAGTAGGTATGCAGCAGGCAGCTGAATGATTTTAAAATGGAACAAATAATTGTCAAGCTGCCCTTGAACATGTTTTTGTAATTATCTTTTTGGTATTGCATAGCTTTTGAAATCCTGCCAAAATCAATTGTACAATAAAATCAATATGTCCTTTTCTATTTTACTGTTGCATTGACGTGTCATTCTTGTACAGCTCTGAATCTTACCAGTATTGTGGTATTTCTCACCCTGACCAACTGTTGCGTAGCTGTTTGCATGCGACAGTTATGTTGGCCTGCCTGATGTGGAAGGGTGTGGGAAGAAGAGAGAGCGTGCCGACTTGAAAAGTGGCTTGTGATTTCCTGGGGCTAGAGATCGCCTTCTGGCGAGCTTTGAGGGATCCCGCGTGACTGTAGGAAACCTTAAAAAAATTTGTTTTTCAAACTACAGGATTATGATGGAACAAAGGGTTCTTATAAGGATGAATCTTATAAGAAACTCTGACCTGCTATTTTAAGGGAGGTAGTTTTGTGAGATTTTACTGTCATATCATCACTACATAATAGCGTGCATCCCATCCAGCTGAACAGACTCTGTTCATCACCGCATCTCCCTGAAATTCAGTTCTGCCATGCCTGGCAATTGCGTTTTCTTAGAGCACGGTCAAGAAAACCAAACCCATAAACCAATAACCTCCCACTCTGTTACCAGATGGATGCATTCCACGTTTTGACATGCTGAGAAGCGAACACTGAAAATTCACCTGTGGAATGTTGATGCTAAAGATTCCCGAGCAGCTGCACTCACGGTCTTTTTGTATTCCCTTCTATTTCCTGATAAACGTACATCAGTGTCACCAAAGCGTTCCGCTTAGAGGGCGTAACGGAAACACTGTACCCAAAAAACTGAACGCAGTTTCTCAAAGTTATCTCGCCTAGGCCTCACGAGCAGAACAGAGAATATCATCACTACTAATGTTTTACTCGTTTCTACCAAGTGCAGCCACATTTCCTTCCAAGCAGAAAAGTGCAAAGGTGGAAAAGAGGCACACTGCAATTAAGCAGACAAGTCCAATGAAAAGCATTTCATCGATACTAAGACAGACTTTCCGGTCCTTCTAACGTGTTCCTGAAGTAACTGTAAAGGCAGCCTACATAATTGCAATAGCAGCTTCCAGGCCATCAGATAATGCGTGCACGTCTATGACCGTGATGAAGTAATACTGTAGAAAATGGCTCTGAAATGAGAGCCGAGACCAGGAAACTCAAGCGCTTTCATTTAGGAGCTTACATCTTAAGTGTAATTAGTACTGCGTATTAGAAAATTTAAAATCGGTACTAATTGTCAATATTAACTTGCTTGTTTTGATGTAAAGCTGTGAAATAGTAGTGTGGAGCTTTCTTTTCCTTTGGCATTTCATTTCTGTCTCCCAAAGCTATTGTAAGCCTGCTGGTACCCTGCTTAGACGAGCGCTAAGAGAAAAGCCTCTCTCCTGCATGGAATTGAATGCAATCCGCCTCATTTTAGTTACAAACTTCAAAATGCAGCTATCCAAGGGAAGAAGGGAAATGAAAACAGTTTCCTAACTATCTGTTACGAGCAGGCACATTAGTGAAATTCCAATTATAGGGTCAGTGTAATTAGACAGGGAATTGAACACGAGCATCCAAGTGCTACGATATCACAAAGAAGCTCGTTCTCATTTTATACAGTCCAAAAATCATCAGATGCAAATTGAAACAAATTGAGGAAGTGATGGTAGTATATTACTTAGATGCACTCAAACTCCTAGTCTGACCGATAATGGTCAGATTTATGAAACCATTTATAATGCTTCAAGCATAGCAAGCACAGGTACAAAACTTTGTGCTGCATATTCCAGATCCACAATTTTGACTGAGGCGCAGGTCAAGATTTGTCGTCGGCACGGTCATTTCTGTATTAACAACACGGCAGCCTTACGCCCACCTCTTGCTAGAAGTATAACAGACGATACCTGTAAGGGTATTGTTTGGATTGCATGGAGGAAAACAGTTCGCACGGAAGAGAAGGAAAGCAGCGCTCCGCTTCTCCTTTATCGACTTCAAAGCAGCTACCTCAGCAGCTGGATTAGCTCAGCGCTTCCGAGCGGCTTTTGACCACTAAGGGAAGACCAGTGTCTACAAATCACATTGCTTATGCCTTCATCATCATGAATTCATGAACCTAGGTACAGCCACACTCTTCCCCTCTATACTTTTTGTCCTCAACCTGAACACAGCTGTGATTTACTGAGGCAGAAGCAAGAACAGAGCCGGTTATTTTGTGTGTCCCAAGACAAGCTGAGGTTAAATTACTTCAACAGCCTGCGTCATTAAGCCCTTCATAAAAATGAGCGCTTGCTTCTGGAAACAGAGGGACACGCTTTTTCATTCAGTAATGAAGTGTTCCGATTTAAAGAATTCAACGAGTAGAAACCGAATAGCAAAGCTCATTAAGCACTTAACCAAAATGAGTTTTGAGCTCGCTGCTCAAAACAGGGACATGCTTTTTCATTCAGTAGTGCGGTGTTCTGATTTAAAGAATTCAAAGAGAAGAAACTGATCCGCAAAGTTTTGTTACCATTCTATTACACGAAAGGCACTTGTTGACTCACCCTCGGCATGCATTAATCGTAACTCAGAGTTCCATTCCTCCTATCTTCTTACCATCTGACCGTTAGAAAAGAGATGCAAGGTGCATCTTCTGAGTCCAGCAAAGGGCTCTCTCTAAGAAATACCAGGTCTTCTCGCAGTGTACTGCAGCTAGTTCAACGAAGTTTGTTGTGTTGTTTACTCACACAAATAGCTGTAAGCCCTGTGCTACGATGCTTTTCGTCTCCCAGGGCAATTCTCTTATAACATTTGAGTAAATTGAAGCCTTTTGCACAGCTGCAAGACGACCCATCACCGAACCCTGCTCCTTCTCCCAGAGCACGTCGCAACATATCGCACAGACTCAGCGAGATCTCTCACCTTGCTCATGGCACAACGCCGCTGTTGGCTGTGAAAATACATCTATAACAATGCGCAGTAAAAACATTTGCAGTTCTGCAAATATAAATAATACAAATGAACACAGTCCCACTCTTGGGGTTTAAACGTAAGAATAAAACTGCTACGCAAGGTGAACTTCATCACTGAAGCCTTTTCGTAGCACTTGTGTCCATTACTGGAGATAGCTAAAATCTCACAGAAAGTCATCCTGCCGATTTATAGGACACGGGAACGTAACTCGGAGCAGCGCAGCACAGAACTGTTTGCAACGCTCCCTTTCTAATCCACCAGCCCGCAATTGTTTTCGCTAACCCATGCGGCCACCGGTCACGTTGCCGGTCCCTTATTTCCACTGCCATTTATTGTGGACGAGGGGCGAGAGAAACCGGAGCGCAAACCGTCACGGCCGGGGCGTTCTGCGGAGCGTCATTCTGTCACGTCATTCACGTCAAATTCCAAGCGAGCCGTTTGAATTAGGTACAACTACTGAACTTAGTAACAAACCCAACAACGAGGCGAGGAGAAGCGCGTAGCAAACTGCAATCTGAAGCACAAATTAAGTCCGTGATTCAGATCCGGAACGCACGTGTCGAGCCGTCAGAGCCCCGGGCCGGCCCTAACGAGACCCAGCCTCGCTAACGAGCGCCAGGTGCCGCAGGGCCGCGCCCGCCCGCGCACAGCCGCGCCTCGTCGGGAGCTCGGGGGCGGAGCCCGCCGCAAAGCTTCTTAAGCTCCGCCGGAGGCGGCTGGGAGGCACGAGGAGCTTCGCGGAGATCCTCCGCCGCGAGAGCCGGTTCCGTTCCTTCATGCTGCCGGGGCCGAAAAGCTATGCCAGGGGCTGCTTTTAGAAGGAAACGTTGGGATTCTACGTAACGTTCTCTGTTGTTTTGTTTCAGGTTATAGCGAGACCGCGCGCATTGAGGATCAGCCCGACCCGGTGAGAAGTTCCGGAGGTAGCGAGACGAGGGAGGCGGCGAGCCGTCCGGCTGCCCTTACCGCCGTTTAGGGGGCCGGCGTAGGACTGCCGCTGGGCTCTGCCAGCTTTTCAGAGCCGGGGTACCGTCGCCGCCCGGTTTCCATCGCACCTTCGGGAGGTGCCGCCGCTCGCTTCCTCGAGTCCCGAGGCGGCGTTCTCAGCCGCGTCGGGCTTTTGGGCGGTCGCTTCGGTTCCTTCCGCCGTCATCGGCGGGAGCGAGCGGGACGGGGCCGTACTGTTCCAGCCTTTGTGCTGGTGAGGGTGACACGCGACGCGAAGGTTTGCTAACACTTAAGTTTACGTTTTCGCAGGCGGACCGAGGGCCGCGGCGGAGCCTCTTGTCGGCCCAATCCGGCGAGCGTTCGGGGTGCCAGGTAAGCGCTCTGCGCTCGGGGTTTGCGTAGCGCCGCTGCTCGGCTACCTCAATTTCTTAGGCTCGGCACGGTGCCGTTGCCAGGCTCTTGCACAGCTTTTTAGAAGGATCGGCTCTGGGCCGCCGCGGTCCCCGCGGAGGGTTTCGAAGGCACTTCAGCACATCCCGCGTCCAGTGTTAGCAGCGAGTAGGACGGGACCGTGCGTGCCCTCCTTCCTCTCCTCCAGTTAAGCGTAACTTCAGGAATACTATTCGTGGCAGCTCGTGTGGCTGGCGATGTTCTTTTCAGGACAGACAGACGCAGCGGTTCACGCGAGGAAGCCGAACGGACCGTACTGCGCCCGGGGGCGAGCGGAGGAGCGCTCGGCAGCGGGTAATGCGGCAAACGTCCTAGGGGCGTCTGTTACAGAGCGGGTCGAGAAAGTCAGTAAGACCTTCTTCACGCAGCTGGAGTTGGCCTCACCGTTGCGGGGAAGAACCGTACGACAGGAGCGGCACCCGAAGACTGCGCGGTCCCGGCGGGGGAGAGGTACCGCGGGCCGGCCGCGCGCCCTCGTGGCCGATGTTATCCCGGGGTGAGTTAAAAGGAGCGCGGGCGGCAGGGCGAGGGAGGGGTCCGTCCTTCTTCCACGTGCCCCGGCGGGGCCGTATCTGCTTCTGGACTCTGCAGGTCGAGGAAGACGGGACGTTTGCGGAGTCTGGCAGAGAGCGGTGAAGACGATGGGGGTGCGGGAGCATTGTCTTTCTGAGGAACGGATGAGAGATCAACGACTGCCTAGCGTCCTTCTCTGGGAGTACGGTGATCTCCAGAGAGCCCTTTTCAGTCCTACAGCTCTGGTTCTGATCTTGCTGTGGGGTGAGGGCAGCGGTGAAGCCGTTTTTGCTGGCGATTGGCCTGAATATGCGAGTGGTTTCTTCAGCATTGGAATGAAAGATGTGAGCCTTCAAACCTGAGTGTTGTCTGCTTTGGTGTGGGGCCTCCCACCCGGGTGGCCCCTCGGTGCCCTTCCTGCATGTTTAGGGCTGGAGAAGGGTGCTATGGAGGGATGGACTGAGGTGAGTTGTGTCCTTTTATGTCTGACCTGTATTCCTGGGATGGAATTGAAGGGTAGGACTGGGTGCTAACAGACAAAAGCCCCTTCTGTTTGGGTCCTTGCTTGAGGTGAAGCTTCACTGTGCTTTCCTTTCAGCCTGGTGGTGTGTGGCAGGTCCTCTCCTGGAGGGATGGAATTGATGGAGGGGGAGAGGTGAGAAGTTCTGCCTGTCCTCCCGTGTGGGGAATCTGGAGTCCGTGGTTCTATTTCCTGTACTGGGGTAACCTGTTGTCTGCCTTGGTGAGTTCCAACACTGCAGAGCTCTTTTTTTCTTCAGGTCCTGATGCAGCTGGTGTTCTGGGAGGATATTCAACATCCTCGGTTGGTAGCTGGGCTCCTGTGAAACTGCAGAGGTGGAAGCAGAGAAGCTGTCTCGAGAGGTAAGCCTTGGGTGTTGCTGCGTGCCCTGTAGGTTGTGTGTTAGCTGTAGCAAACCCCGCCTCCCCCCACTGGATTCTTTGAGTGCTGATATAAGTTGCGGTTTCTCTGGAGGTACAGATTGTAATTTTGTATCAGTGTGGTTTATTGGCCAGTGAGGTTAAGGTGGACCTGAGTTGTGGTCTGTGTCACTTGGTTTATTTGCTCTTTGTTTGTGGTGGCTTATTTGTGGTCTTCACTTGGTTTACTTTTTTGTGGCTGTAGTAGTTTTGCTTATTTTTCTGTGAAGTGATGGTGAGTTGTTACTGAGGTTTTTTGTTTTTTTTTTTTGTGGTTATAATTCTACCTCTAATTGTGTCATTGTGTTTTAGATGGCTTATGTTGATGCAGAGATGAGTTGTGGTCTGCCAGTTGCCTTTTTTTTGTGGTGCTTTGACTGGCTCTAATTGTGTAAGCAAGCTTGAAATGAAGGTGCCTTATGTGGTGGTGTGACTTTGGCTTTAATTGTGTATTCATAATTGTGTATTCATATTTGAGATTGAGGTGGCTTATGTGGATGGACTTGTGGTCTTCACTTGGTTTACTTGACTTTTTTTTCTGGTGGTAGTAGTTTTGCTTATTTGTGGTTATATAATGCTAGCTCTAATTGTGTATTCATGCTTGAGATGAGTTTTATGTTACTCTTGTTTATTTGTGTGCCTGTTTGTTTTTTGAGTGCTAGAGTCCAGGGTTTGTACTATCTCTGAAGATAGTACAAACTTTTTTTTTTGGGTGGTGGGTAGGGTGCACTGGTTGGCATTGGAAACTTTTTGGGAGAGGGGAGCCCTGCTGAGCCATAGGAGGTTCACCCTGCATGGAAGAGCCCTACCTGGCTATAGGGGCTCCCCTGAGTGGTGGTCTGAGGGGATACCCTACCTGGGTGCTGGAGTGGCTCCTGTGTGATAATGATCCTTCTAGGCTGGAAGGGAGGTGGAAGCCAGTGAAGCCAGCTCTTCTTGGCCCTGTGTTCTGCCTGAAGGTAAAGTACAGTTCACTTTATCTCTTGGGTAAAGTGTGTTTGAATGAAGCCTTTGTCTGGGGCTTAAGTTACTCTGCGCAGTCACTTAACGCGCGCTACAGAGTGTAGAGGGTTTTACCTTCTGAAAGGGCTTGGGTAAGCAGCTGGAGGTGAAATGTTCCTGTAGTGAGTGTCCATCCAAGTATGTCCTGTATACACTAGGGCTGTTTTGCAGTACCTGCAACCTCAACAGACAGTCAAAAAGGAGTAATGTAGGTGCTCTTGGTGACCTTTGCCAATTATTCATGGGGGGAAAAAGTGTAATAGGAAACTAACAAATGAAAATCTTAGCTTTTACTTTCACAGAAATGCAGGAAACTATCTCCTTATGGGGATAAGGCTTTACTTCGTTTGTATTTAAGGCAATGCCTCAACATGCCTACTTACTAACTCAATTTGGTGCAACTTAAATTGTATGTTTTAAAATTAGTAAAATAGGCTTTTTTATAGGCCTGCCTTTCACTTTATCACCTTGCTGAAGCAAAACTGTGTAGGAGGACTTGTAACCGACTCTGTTTGCATTTCAAGGTATGTCCCAAAGATATTGGTAGCAACCATGTTTACTTCTGTGGGGTGGGAAGCAAGTGATGCATCAGTTTTGCAGAGGAATGATTAGCTCAGTACGGTTACTTTTTTTATAAAGACTGTTCTGACTAAGGCAGAAGTGCTCTGTGGTACACGTAGCCATGAGCACGCCAACGTGTCTTCAACGTAACTGAAAAAAATCTTACCACAAAGAAAGGGATGTACCTGCTCTTCATGTGCTCCTGCCTTATTCCCTTGCCGCATATGTTAGCTTATTAATCACGGGGAACAGGGAAGGGGAGAAAAAGTTCCCCTCTTGCGATCGGCCACTTGGGTGTTCTGTAAAAGATTCAAAAGCAAGACTTGATTACAAATTCTACTTATCTACTTCAAAGCCACAATTCATCAGACTTGCTTTACTCGCTGACTGGAATCATAAGTATGTTTCCAGTGTTTGTATTGTTACAGCTGAATTTCAGAATATCAGTGTTTCTCAAATTTGGTAGAGTCTTACTGAGCTTGAAGGCAGGTGTGCTGTCTCAAAAATAGAGTGGCATTGAGTGTCTTGCAATAAAACCTTGTTTCCTTTCTATAAAGTCAGCTCACTGAAACTTATCTGGTTTCTTGCTAGGTAACTCCAACTAACGTTTCTTGGTGAAGGCCTTTGTGTCAAATCTTAGTAAGTTAGCTTCTGCAAACCTTCATCCCATACTGAGTCCAAACTCTAATGCAAACAACATTGTCCTATTCCACATTTACCTTTTTACAAGAAGAAATGGAACTGCGTTTGGATTCTGCCATTGCATTAAATGTTGGTCCAGGCTCTCTGTATATGTGCATTCCTCCACTGGTGAATAGTAGAAAAGGTTTTCTTTTTTGGATTAACTCTTATGGAAAAATCAAGTAGGAGCCCTAATCTTAAATTTACATGGGCTCTGTGACAAAGAGTGTGTCCTTGTTCCTTTTTTGTTTATACATAGCACTGATTTCCACTCACACAGTGCATGATAAAACTCCAACCTTCTCCACTTACCATATTTCGGTGTTGTAATTGTACATGGTGAACTTGCTTATGCATTGACTCAGGTTGCTGTGCTGAAAAGATAAATCCCTCCCTGTAAGCCTGTACGGTACATGTCAAACTATGTTTTTTAATTTGAAAACAAAAATAAACTACAGTAACAATGTATGTTGCTTTGACTTCACTAACTTTGGTTTGCGGGTTCTTAAGTACTTGATGTGACAAAAAGCAGTGGTAGAAGGAAGAAAAGAGCAAGGTTTTAGATGGGGTCTCAAAAAACTTACTGCTTATGCTATGAGCTATTCATACTACTTAGGCACACTAACCTCAGATAAGTCAGGTGGAAGTGCTTACCCTTCCAACTATATTTCTAAGAGACAAGATCCTGTAAGCTATGTGAGCCTAGCAAAAAAGCACAAGAATGGGCCAAATGACTCCTGTAGAAGAAAGAATGAGCCTGGGGGATGGAAATGCTGGGGTGAAAGCCAGGCTGGCATGCTGTTACATAATGTTTTTTTTTTAACTGGAATTTAATAAAATCAAGTGATCAAGGAGGTAAGTGCGTGCATGAAGTCCTTGTGTGACTTGCTGAACCCTCATCTCAGTTATTTATGGTGAGTTAGGATGCCAAATCTGAGGTTTTGCATATAAAAACTGCAGGCCCAGTTTGCACAATTCCAAGAAGGGGCAGTAATCTATCTTGTGAAAGGCATTTAATTACTGTGTACTTAAAAACAAACCACCTCCAAAGCCTGTCAAGAATTTCAGAAGTTTTTAGAAAAGTGGATTTATCTTTAAGATTTACCAGGCATCGTGAGAATAAATTTTTTTCCCTATTAAATGTCTTAGAATTAGACTGATGCTCTCCCATGAAGTTGGAAGTAACCATGCGCTCAGATAAGTGGCTGTTTAATGACATCACTGTGCCATCACAATGCCCCACGTGCTTTCTTCACTTTGCAAAGCAATTACCGTGTTCTCCAGGCAGCATTTATTGCTAACAGTAACTCTGTAGAATGTTAGCTTTTAAGAACAGAGCGCATTGCTAACAATTAAATAACCACCCGGGGAAAGAAGAGATATTTCAGCTCTTTGCTTTCCCACGTGCTTTTGCAGAACATTTGAGCTCTTTTAATTTCAAATTCAGAAGCCCTGTGTTGAAGTGCTTAAGTTCTCTGTGAGGTGTAAAGCCCCTCAGATTGCCAGTATTTTCTGTCTTCCACAGACTGCTCTAATTGTGATTCCAGGTGTATATCCTACAGGGGCAGAACCTAACATTCTATTCACATCATTCTCTGTGGCCCCCAGATAACTTCATGAACGGGCAACTGGCCAACTATGGAATGGGGGGAGCTAAAAATTGAATCTACTGAGAAAAGAAAGGAAATAAACATGTTTCACCGCTGTGCTAAAACTCACTCACTTGTACACGTTCCTTTTGTCTCTGTGTCGAAAGCAAACCTCTGCCTCTCTCCTCCAGTTTCGCAAAAGGCAAGGAGACTGAAGCGAGCACTCTGAATGGGGCTTTCCAAATGCTGACTTACCGTATCAGCTTAGTTCTCTATCAAGCTAAAGACAGTCAGATCTACATTTTTCCCCTGTCTAGAAGAATACCTCATCTACCTTCCCAGTAACTTATAGGAATTTTAACCAAGCGGAGAAAGCATTCACCTTTGGAGGACAAATCTTACCCTTTGAAGTGTCCTTAATCTCAATGAGGTGATTAAGTACAAACTGAGTGCCTACAAGTGCAAAGCCTGTCAGAAGTGGCCGCAGAGGGACCGGGTACCACCACACTTACCTGTCAAGACTTCACAGGGAATGAAAGATTCTCCCATAAGGAGAGAACTGCTCCTCTGAGCAATTGTTCTTAAATCCAGAACACACATAGAATCCTCAATACAATAAACAACAACAACAACACCTAAGTAGAAACTGAGTTCTGATATTAAAATCCCCTTCATTATGAAATCTACCAAAAAACCAAAATTCTAACACTCCTTGGCTCTTTTTTTCCCCACACCAAGAAGGAATAATGCCAGCCCAGCAGCGTTACTTCAGACGGGTTCCATTTCTGCAACATCGGATATGTTTCAGAGCTTTCAGTTACCTCACGCTGAGGAGGCTATGAAATTACTAGAGAAAATAATACAGCAGACCATGTGTGGAAGAAAAAAAATACATGTAGATTAGCAAATGCTGAGATAGAAAGAAGCAGAAGAGGAACTCTTTAAGGATGCCTTTCTGAGAGTGCTAGAGTTCTCCAGCCCCTGTGCTAGACAGCAAGCAGAGGGGGCACAAGACCAGGGTGTGACAGAGCAATCACCTTCTGGGGAAAAAACAAGGCAAAAGAAGGAAAACAAAATGAACAGGCTGAGGAAACAGGGACGTGTAACCTGGAAAGAATACATGGATGCTTTCCAGATGAGCGGAGATGAGTAAACTGACAGGCAGATGAAACTGAAGTTGGCACGAGACTTAACAAAAAGCAATTTCTTTGTGTCAGAAAGACAAAAGCCAAGGAAAGTGTACTCCCTCTGATAAGCGAGAAGGGAGAAAAGGCAAGGACAGACATAAGGAAGGCTGAGGTGCTCAGCGAGTCCTTCGCCTCAATCTTGGATGGCAGTCAGCCTTTCCGTATCTCTCAGGTCCCTAAACCTCTGGATGGTGAAGGGGGGACTTAATCCCTCCAGCCGTAAGAGAAGAACGAGTCCGAGCCCACCTGAAGAGACTGAATGCCTACAAGTCTATGAGGCACGATAACATGCACCCCAGGGTCCTGAGGGGACTGCCTGATGCAACTGCTGTGCTACTCTCCAGCATATTAGATAAGCCGGGGCTGTCAGGTAAGTCCCCGGTGACTGGAAGAATATCACAGCAAAGCAGATGAATGCCGAGCTGTAACCTCGATGAAGAACCATCACCTGTGCCACGTCCAAATGGACTGACACAACCAGGGGAGTATCCTGCACCGCTCTCGAATTGAGAACAACTTTACTGAGAACAACCTTACTGAGAACAACTGATTTTACAAGCTGTAAAAAAGAGCTCGCTGACAGACCGAGAGGCTTGGGCTCAGTCGGTTCAAACCAGCTCTCCTTCACAAGCCTACAGTAAACACGTGGAGAGGGTTGGTGATTTCCCAGTACCTACAGTACTGTGCAGCACGGGTGGTTTTCCAGAAGAGAAGCCTACGATGTCCACTGCAGCACATAAGGTGACTAAGCGTTCAACCCGCAATGAACTACTCCCGTTCTTTGGCTTTACTCTAATCTTTACACAATACAAACAATAAAAACAAACAAAAAAACCAAAATGCTACCACAAAAAGTTACCTAATACGTGTTCCCATGATTTTCGGTGTCTGCATTTCCAGGATGACCTTTGCCACCACCGAAATCCCAGGCAGAGTAAGGCGCAGTGGGAAACCCTCTGTTCCCTGTGTTGACAGCTCCCGCAGGTGCTTGAGCCTCTGCAGATCCCACTTGTGCTTGACAATGGCATCCACATAAATACAAACCTGAAAAAGCAGTGATTGCCTTTCACTGAGTGCTGTGATGCTGTCAAAGTAACTGCCCGAGCTTTAACGCACCACTGTTACTTTGACCTTTCATCCCTCTCCCTTTATGCTCTATTTCATCCTGCTTTGAGAATAGGAGCAGTAACTGCCCTCCACTGAAACTGCCCTTTTGTAAGGCTGGCATGGGGTGATAATAGCAGGGTGGGAAAGTCTTTGGTTAAAGCAGACAAGAATGAACTCAAATGCAGCAGACACAGAAAGGAAGGGAGCTGCTCAGCTTTAGAAGAGCTCAGGCAGGCAGGAATCTCTGGAAAGTGATGCCCTCACCTCCCCTGCCAACCCTTAAATGAGGTCTGGGAAGGGGTGGATCCTGGCTCCACCCCTGCAGGCCTCTCAGCTGCATTGATTGCACCTGAGCACCCCTGAATCTGCCCTGCTGAGCACCAGGTGCTCGATTACTGCTTCAGGCCGTGACTTAGTTTTTTCTCTACACCTCAGTGTATCAATTACAGATTTTCCAGACGCTTACTCCAACACTGCTGCTTCTGGTCACCTTGACTCTGAACTCCTTTTTATTGTCTGATCGACTGCAGATCTTGTCGCTGATAGGCTGGTATCTTTCTCCACATTAGACATAATGTTTTATCGCTGCCACTGATTTCAGCGCACAGAATCACGGTCGAGCTCATTTCTTGTTTAGCTAATGCAGCTAAAGAACATCTTACTATTGACATTAGATCTTATAGGTTGCACACTTTTGATAAAATGTATGGAGCATCTTCAGCTTCCGTAGACTGCCATCTTTCTTTTAGGTCCTTGTAGGATTTGTGACTCGAACATGTTAAAAAAAAATTGGGAGTGTCCGAGTCATACTGGCTATGCAGTTTCAGACCATCATCATCATTTATACCTCCCGTTACCATTTAGACATTTCGAATTTCAGAATCAGAGTCTGAATTCTTATCTTTTTAAAGTTGACTGAATTTTTACGTTTATTTCAATGCCGCAAATTACATCCCAAATGAAATTTCCAGGTGGATTAGTGCCACGAGGCCCAAAAAACTGAGGCATTTTTCGTTTCAGGGAACACTCGCAGTCACATTAGATATTCAAGTTACAATTACTGAATCTCGACAGCGTTTCATATCAAGGCTGCAGGGTGCTCGGCACTATCCGAAGCAAAATGCTGCTTTAAGTTGGAGGACTGAGCGTATGCTGAGAACTGAGTGTCCCTGTAAAAATATGCATGTCAAGTCAACTCAAGAAAATAAAAAGATTGCCTCCTGATAAATGAAAGACTTGGCTCCTGCAGAAAACCATTCAGTATTTAGATCTTTCAGCTCATCTACAATTGCCTTCGCATGCCCTGGCTACGTACGCTTGGCAGCGTCAATCCGGAACCCAGCCACACCAATGTCTGTGGGGTACTTCAGGTATTCTGCCATTCTGGAGTGCAAGCAGTTCTTCTCCAGGGCCAAATCAAGGAGATTAACAAAGTCGAGCAGCTTTCAAAGCTTACGTTAGGCTACTTGGGATCTCATTTTGTGCCCTTCATGTTTAGAAAGCAGAACGATAAAGAAATGCTACCACAGGGATCTGCCACACACAAAAGGTCGAACTATTACTTTCAGCAAGTAACAGAACAAAATATTACTATTTCCCCCTAAGTACCCATTCATCGTAAAAATCTCTCACGACTCAGAAACGATACAGGACAAGGAGGGAATAAGGAGGTTCCTGGTCAGTTTCGCCTGGGAAACATACATAGCTCTGGTGAATGCTTAAAGCGCCCTCTGGTTTGCTACGTTTTCCTAACGTAATGAAGCCACTGAGCCTTACCGGCAGGGAAACTGCTCCATGCCTTTCGTTACTCAAATAAGAAAATCAAGCGTCAGATAAATTTCCCAAAGCGGTAGGAATAATATATTTCGACCCAAACAGCGTCAGGCCTAGCGTTTAAGGCGAAGACTGAATGCAGGGTCTCATTCCTTTGAAATAAGGCTTGCGGCTGCTCCAGCTTCAGCGCGAGCAATAACAACGCAAGGGCCACGTGAAATCCCCAACGCGCTCGGAAGCTTCCAAACGGTTATTTTCCACGCTTCAAGACAGGTCGAGAAACAGCAGCCACCCCCCAGCTCCCCCGCGGTGCTTACCGGGCCGTACGGGACTCTGCCACGCGCTCCTGCCCGGCTCGCGGCGCCGCTCCCGGCAGCTGCGAGGCGCCGCCCCTCGCGCGACTCCGAGCGGCCGCAGCGCCGAGCGCGCCCCGCAGCCGTGCGCGTGCCTGAGGGGCTGCGCCGCGGCGGGAACGGGGTGGCGGCGGGAGCGTCTCAAGAGCGGGTCATCTGCGCGTTCTTTTTGTTCCTTTGTAATTTAAATGAAGTATTTCGGCTTTTCAGTCTCGCAGCGTCGTCCTTTTCTCCCGGTCCGGCGCTCCTCCCCGCAGGTAGGGCACGCGGCAGCGGCAAGGCTCGCGCAGCATGCTCGCACAAGCGGTTTATGCAAAGGCGCCCGAGACCGAGAACGTGACAGACTAAACCGTGTCCTGCTCAGGGACAGCGGAAGGCCACCGGGCGATCTGCCGCCAGGAGATCTAGGGAGCTACCCGAAATGTAATGTAAGTGCCCTTCGTGTACCGCACCGACTCGTCAGTCACACCCAGCACGTGGCCCCAGTCCCGCGGGCTGCTCCGCAAAGATGGGCTGTGACCCTGGGACGTGGTCCCGAGTAAACCGCGGTGGTAATTACAAAGGAGACCGGAATCATACAGCAAAAACTCATTCCGGTGCACTGGTACTGTTTGGTCTCTAAGACAAGTAAAAGCATTTACACTGAAATGCGATTGTCCTTGGGTTTACTTGCCATCTTACCCCGAGCTATTAAGACCCGAACATCAGACTTAAGGAAGTTCATACTGGTGCCTGTGAACGTACACCCCGAATCAAGTCAAACACGTTGTCCACAATGACAGCAAAGGTTGAGCAAAAGGTAAAAAAAAAACAAACAAGCCCTAAATCTCAAAGAATTGCAACAAAATATTTGTGTCTTGCTCCTCCTTCCTGTTCACAAACCTCATAACAACAGGAAAACGTAGCATTAAGAGAAAGGAAATGATTCATTAGAGATTTCAAAAGCAAACTAACATACATGTATCATGTAAGTCTTCTGACCACATTACGTAACATACGTGGAGTCTTTAAGATGAGGAAGTTTCTACTCTGCCTCAAATACTTTAGAAATGCTCTAGACACAGATCCGGAGTCCTGATGGTGGTACTGCTTCCTCCCCAGGCTTGGGAACTCTTGTGTGGGATGGAACGCAAAAAGGAACCTGGAACATCACAAAGGCGTGTTGCCAGCGTGAACAACCAGAACCTAGCAGTGCTTTCTTTTGACAACCGAATTGGAAGATGGTTAATGTGATAAGATCTCTGAGTATCTGAAAAAAAAACTCAGCGGGTATAGGCTGTATTAATTTTATATTTCAATAAATGAAAAATGATAATGTAATACTAAATCCACACACACACACACAAAAAGTCGCTGTTACCTCATTGAAGAGAGTGATGGAAAGAACGACAGAAAAGTAACAGTGACTAATAGTTCCGTTCTGAACTCTGTTCCTGCGTTGTGAGACACTGTTGGATTTTGGTCTGCTCAAAAACAAAAAAATGTACAAACAGAAAATCGACACAGGCAGTTGCTCATTTGATTGATTCTATGCATTCTATTTTGAATGATTCTGTGATTCTGTAATTCATATGGTAGGACAACAGTGATCAAACACATCCTAAAAACATCCAGCCTTTAATAACATTAATAATGGCTTTGTGACGTATTTTAAACCAACATATTATTCTAATGGTTTATTTAAAGAAAAGGACGACGTCCTCAGTGTGAGCCCATACAGCTCCACACACATCCGTGAAACACTTCTAGCTCAGACAAGCTAAGGAGTTGTATTGAAAATTAAATAAATTATATGACCTTTGAAGAGAAAGGTGAAAGCTGCCTTTTCAGATTAGGAACAGGAACGCTCGTTGCAACTGCTCACCCAATTGATAGCTCCTCTTTTTTTTTCCCTTGAAAAAGTGCTACTTTTTAAATCAATAGATTAATTCAGGCTCTAAAATGCATGAGCTCTTCCCCAAAAGGAATAAGAAAAAGAAGGGAACGCTTTTGCACACCCTTGTTCCTAACAGCTTAAAGTCGAGGCTCATTCGTCTGCTTTCAACAAACAGTACAGAACGCCTGTAAAAACAACTCATTTAATCTAACTAATTTAATCTAACTTCTTTAGACAACAGTGTTGTTCCATTTTTCTTTGCTTGAAAGAAAGGTGGATGGCTATGCTATGGAACATAAGGACAGGAAAGAGCAGAGGCTATGTGGTTATGTTCTCATAAATATTAGGGCCTCCAGAATGAATTACAGATAGAACGCAAAGGAGTGTGTGGGAGGGAATTTTTTATTTCTTCTTGCTGCAGCCAAGGTAAATAATAAACTGATAACAGAATGCCCTTTAAACCTGGAATTCAAGCGGTTCTAATGGGAACAGTGTTCAACTGGTTAAAATTGTTCCATTTGGTTTGTCGCCTAGTTTAACTGTTATATAACAAGTTCAGTCCCATTTACTGATATACAGCATGTCCAGTGGGAGCAGAGTTCTGCACGTCTATTTGTGGTTTGTGGAGAATTAAAACAAAATTAAAGTTTTCGAGGAAGTAACTTGAGTTACAAACCACTCTGGGCATTACAGCGTTTGTGAGTAGCATTGAAAATTCAGTTAATCATTTACAGAAGTGATAGTCGGGGAGTTTTTGCAGATGATGGAAACTATTGATGGGGACGGTAATGAAGATGAGATTTAAAAGCTGTCTTTTCTTCCTAGTTATGATGAATTCAGGCAAACTCTTTGCAGAAGGTAAAAAAAACGAATTCTTTTGCTGATTAATATGCACTGAACGTAGAACGTGCAGTTTAGGTTTCTAAGGCAGGGTGTCTTTCGTATCTTAAACGAGAATGAAGCCTGCTTTTTAAATACAGTTCTGTTGCGAGATGGCTGATAATCGTGGATCGGTTGTTGCTGCTTGTCAGAGCTACAGATTCACACGTTGAAGCTGTATAATGGAAAGATCCAGCTTTCTATTCAGAAGAGTTTCCTCGGGAAATGTATCTGAGCTACTTTGGGGCATTATACGAATGGAAATTTGCCCTCCTAGACATTAAGTATGCTGGCACGTCTCAGTAATTGGGCTGTTCTGGCTAACCATCAAGCACAAGAGCAGAAGTTAAATGGTGCCTGCAGAGGTTAGCCTTGGGTGGTGTTTCACATTTCCTATCCCTGTTTTCAGTACTGTTTGAAATTCCTGGGTCTGTCTAGAATGCGTCCTGCTTGAACTGCGACTTCTGTTCTTAACCTCCCTTCCTTCAGCGAATCGTCTTCTGTGTTACCTCCTGTTGGTTTGTCGTGCTGAATGAGCAGCTATTGCATAGCTAATTCTTGACGCTGTTTCCATTTCACTTCGGTCTGTGCATCAGAATGGTTTTTCAGTAGAAGGTGCTCGTTTCATTCCACTGATTGCATTTCTGTGAACCTAAAGAACGTAGTCAGATATATTTTCGATGTATTGTAATTTCAGTGCGTGTTATAAGACTCTTCATGCCAAGGATGAGATTTAGTAAAAACGCATAGTAAGTATGATAACTTTAGAATAATACTATTTTCATTTAACAGTGACTGCAAATACACAGCTTGCACCTTGTAAGTAGTGTTTTGTTCCCTTTGTAAGCCTGAATCACTCCAACTGTTTTTAAACAAATACGTTCTTAGATGGGGTGAGATTTTTAGTGAGCAATACACATGTTATGTCTTTGCAGATAAACTCTGTGATTTGCCACATGTAGAAAATGGAAGGATTGCCCCATATTATTACAGCTTCAAAGATTACTATTTCCCTACGCGTAAAGGAAAAAGCCTTTCCTATTCTTGTGTGGCTGGTTATACAACTGAAACCGGGACTCAAGACGGAAGAATAATTTGTACAGCAAAAGGATGGTCTCCAGTGCCACAATGCTACAGTGAGCTCGCTTCTTCATTTCATCTGCCTCTAGCAGAAAACTATTTTAGCTCAGTTTCCTAAGTATTATGGGGACAAAAGGTGCAGAATAGTAGAGATAAAAATGCCTAAGTTAGGTCGAGGTGAAGTCCGCTATGTATATTCATACGTTGAACTGTTTAACTCTAGTGTATGTTCTAAGGACTCTTACCACATATGCTTTTTAAGAATTTCAAGAAAGCTGCCTAGCATAACTTAACCAGGGAAGAATAATTGACATCTGAACCTCCTTAGCTCCAGATTGACATATTCTGTGGTACTACTATCTGTTCAATGATTACGGTAGCTTTTCGGTAAAACGAGAAAATGAAATGAGATGGAGATTATTTAAAAACCCCACTTTCTTGCCCATCAGAGACTATATTACCTTAGTTATTTATTCCTAACCAAACCGTCTCTTTTCATTTAGAAAAATGTAATAAACCTCTTCTGGAACATGGCATTTTTTACGGTACAGAAACGTACTTCAAAATACATGAGAAATTACAATACAAATGTAATCAAGGTTACCACACTCCCAGTGGTGGCACTGAAGATACAGTACAATGTCAATCAGATGGATGGTCTTCCCAGGCAAGCTGTACTAAGAAAGTTGGTAGGATTGTGTTTCTCTCCTTTTTATTTCATATATGTTTATAAAATTCTGCTGTCTTTCCCGTACCTGTAAGGTCAAACTGCCTTTATTAGGTTATTTGAATATTCTTGAAGTAAGTTCCCGGCTGTACCTCATACGATGAAGTTGTCAGATGTTTCACGCTGCTTGTTTTGTGAATTGGTATAGATAAAATTGTGGAATCGGTATAGGTGAGATAATTTTGTTTCAAATAAACCCATTTCTGTCCAAACTTCGCACCCAAATGAACGCTAGAAAACCTATGTAAACTGTTGCGTTTTTAATTGTTCATTATTTCCAAAGACTGCCTCAAATACAATCACTTTAAAGGGAAATTTTAGATAAGTAAGTTTACAGGGAAAAAAAAAACCCATGGCAATATTACATGTCTTATTCACTTAAGAGTCATGCCAAGTACCCGAGTTACATCATGGCAACTACCTAACGACCCAGCGAGAGCTCCGAGTGAATCAAGCGCTGCTATATACATGCGATGAGGGATACCACACTGCAGGAGGAAACACTACCGAAGAAGCAGTTTGTCTTGCTCATGGATGGTCCCTTACTCCAAACTGCTCGAGTACGTAGTGGACTTGAAATGAATTCTTTTTGAAATGTGACACAGCCTACAACTGAATAAAAAATTTATGTTTTTTAAACTGTAGGGATAAAAAAGTTTTTTATGTTTTCTCCCTAGAAAAAACCTGCCCCTCCTTGGGTGTAATAGAACATGGAGGTTTCTATCCTGCGAAGAAGATCTATGAAGAAGGAGATGTTGTTCATTTTTTCTGTGAGGAAAATTATTCTTTTCGTGAATTTGACCTGATTCAATGTTATTACTTTGGTTGGTATCCAGATCCTCCAGTGTGTGAAGGTACCCTTATTTTTACATTTGTGATATGTAAAATTCTCCCGCGCTTTCATGAAATGAAATGCCTTCTTTATGAACACAAAATAAAAATAAGCTCTTGTACCAGTTTTACAACCTGAGTAGAAATAAAGTGTTAGCAGAAGAGCACGAAGCCTAAATGGTGGGGAAGAGGAAATGGCGATTGTAATTAAGCTGCTTCCGCCTGTTCTAGGTGGAATCTAACAATCGAGTGGGTACTGTTACCTGCTGCTTCTTCATGTGTTGTTTCTTGGAAAAGCAGGAAGAAGCAATAGAGGGGAAGCTGCTCAGCCTTAGAGTTCAAGGTAAACTGTGTTCAGATTATTTGAAGGATTATTCGAGCATGGCTTCCTGAGATGAGAGCATGCCTCTCGAGGTACTAAGAACAGTTATTTTACAGCATTTCTTTCTGATGCTCGAGGAAGAAAGAATATATAACTATTTCTCCTTAAAAAAACAAACAAACAAACAAAAACCCCAGAATACCCCACTACTGTCTTAAGTGCATTTTTAAATAAAATTGATGTTTTTGAATCATTTAGGTTGGAAGAAAGACCCTTAAGATCGTTGAGTCCAACCGTTCACCTAATGCTACATGTCCATCCGTGTCCCTAAGCAGCATACCCACACATCTCTCAAATACCTCCAGGGGCTGTGACTCCACCACATCCCTGGTGCAGTGTCTTCCAAAACCTAACTGCTCTTTCCATGAAGAAATTATTCTTGATGTGCAATATAAACCTCCTGTTCTGCAACTCGAGGCTGTTCTCTCACTTTCTATCACTTGTCACATGAGAAGAGAAACGGACAATGTCTTTGCTGTAGCCTGCTCTCAGGTGGTTGTACAGAGTGATGAGGTATCCCCTCAGCCTCCTCTTCTCCAGAAAACAACCCCAATTCCATCAGCCATTTCTCATATGTCTTGTTTCCCAGTCTCTTTACCAGCTTTCCATTTACTCAGTATCCTTCTTGTAGTGAGGAGCCCAAAGCTGAGCACAGTACTCCTTCGTAGCCGATCTTGTAGAAAGTAATGTGATTGGTACAAAGATGAAATTTATGTTCCTTTCCTAGCAGTTATGCTTGGGTTTAAAATGCAATAAAATCTCTCTCAAAAAAATGACACCTTAGTACATTCCTCAGCCCTGCATTTGTTCAGAACTGTTTCCTGGGTGAGCGCAAAGAAAGAGCAGTGCTCAGAAGAAATGAAAATGTGGCCTAAATCTAGTTTTGAGGCAATACTGATTACAAACTTCATGTGAGGATGGGAAATGAGTCACTGCTTTCACTGCTTGTGTAGTATTAGAATTGCTACATCGGCTGTGTTAAGTACTGTATTAATGGAGGGTGTGGAAAATCTCTGTTACCTGCATACTTTGAAAGGACATTTTACTGAGTATACAAGAGATTACTAGTTTGTTTATAACAGTGCTTATAGCAGTGTTATAGCAGTGTTTATAACATAATACCTCTCTTTTATATTTGCTGAAAGTAAAATCCCATTTTTGTTCTAAATCTTCATTTTAGAAAATGAGTTGTGAAGCTAAGAGGTTCCTCTGGTTAACCAGAAATGCCTTCTAAAAACATAGACTCGCACACTATATGGTTAAATGAATTGCTCTGCTTACAGGTTTGCTTAGTGGGAAAAAGAACGCGCTTTTTATTTTCAGATGTAAGAAATAAATGTCCTCCACCACCACTGCCTCCTCACGCCCATACCGTCGCAGTTAGGAGAACGTATCGCAATGGCGACAGAGTTCGTATACAGTGTCAGAGTGAATATGAAATAAGAGGATCTGGGGAAATCCAGTGTGAAAAAGGAAAATGGACGTCACCTCCTATCTGTATGGGTTAGTACCTCTGGCAGCTGAAGAGAAATAATTCTTAAACAGTATCTTAATGTTGTTAATAGTCACAGTTTCCATACCTCCAAAGCTATTTGTCCTCCTCTGATAAATGCTTGAGAGTTTAAGTGCTGCACATTAAGAAAGAGGATGAGCTAGATTATTTCTTAGTGGTTTTTTTCTGTTTTTGTTTTGTTTTGTTGTTTGTTTGTTTGTTAATAATTGAAAATGAATTATTTTCAAGGAATCCGGTTCTAAGTTTCTGCTGTGATTTTAGGATCTATGGATAAAAGGGAATCTGAGACACCAGCATTCGAGGCAGATGCATCGATAAGGGCAAGCAAAACATATCACAGTGAAGAAATGAGTAGGTGCTTTTCTATTTAATAAGAAATCCAATGCTCTCTAGTACTGTTACAGGTATTTTATGACTAACCTTATTACTCTTTTGCTACTCTACCATTCCTTACTCTTGAGGATGTTTGCGTATTCTTTGTGTATTGTTTTAGCAGTATGCCTGAAGGAAAGAACATTCTTATTTCCAGAGACTCTGAACTAAAACGATATTTCAGTGCTGTATATGTAATTTTTTTACATGCATTAGCATTTAACTGCAATCACTTTGCATTGCTTCTGTTTCTATTGTCTGAATGTGCAAATTCAGGAGTATTTTGCTGATCCTATTTAACAGTTCACCGAGGTTTATTTTGAACTCCATGTAGGTTTAACATTTCAAGCAACAAATCAAGATGGTCTCAGCACACCCAAACAGCTAGTCCGTACCGACTGTAAACCAGCAGGAGTTAAGAGTGGACATAGATGAGAAGTGTAGAATGAATAAAAATTGCCTGCACTTCAGTAGGGGAATTATGGACCTTGTCAGACACTTTATTTGTATGCAAATTTTGGATCAAACTCCATCGCTATTCAAATACTTCACAGTACTGACATCATTTTAAAGATTTAATTACGTATCTTCTTACCTTGTATTAGAAATACAGCAAAACTGTACCTCTCCACCTGTGATTAAAAATGGTGTTCTCCTTGGCCCTTTATTACCAAGTTACAAAAATGGCAGCTCAGTAGAATACAGTTGCCAGCGTTACCATTTTTTGGATGGACCCAGTACTGTTTACTGCGAACAAGGAAACTGGACAGAACAGCCTACTTGCTTGGGTAAGCCTTGCAGGAAAAAAATACAATAGATGTATCCTTCTTTCCTTCTTGTAAAAAAAATGATCATTTTTCCACTAGGATCCATTGTTAAAAGGTATTTACTTTAGGTTTTTAATCTACTGTGATAATGCAAATAAATAACGTGTCTAAGATTTAGTTATTTATTTCAAAATGAAGCGTGCCAGATGTTTAAAAATATTTGTAGAAAACGTATCAGAAGTTTGTGTTTTCTGGGAATTACTGTTCTGAGTTGTTTTGTTTTTTTTGCATATTAGTTTTGTTACTTTGGTCCATTTCTTTACTTTTGTATTCTTTTCCTTTTTTTAATATATTCAAAATGTTATTTCTCACAGAATTCCAAAATATTTTAGTACCATGGGTTTATTTTCTTTTTTTTCCCAACTCCTACAAAAAGGAGTTAAGAAATCGCTTGATTGTTTTTATTTCCTAGATCCATGCATTCTTAATGTAACTGATATGAATAGTAACAATATAGAGTTGAAATGGAGACAGGAAGAATTCGTCTTCCTACACGGTGATCTCATTGAGTTTGAATGTAAGCGAGGATACAGATTTCCCCATGCTACCATGCCATCCCCTGGGAGAACTTGGTGTGACCGTGGAAGGCTGAAATACCCCAAATGTGTTTTGCAAGGTAAAACCGTCCTTTCCATTTGTCTTTTTGATTTCATCAATCTCAGACCTATTCAGAAACTTTTGCTTCAGCAGTACAGGCCTAGAAAGTATTATTAATAGTAATAAAAGTTTAGTATCTGACTGATATCTTTACCCAATACAGATAAATTGTTAAATTTGTGTTGAATATAGTTGTTAAATATATACAAGCATAATAAAAACAATATGCCTTCCTCTGGTGGGAAGGCAATAGAAGGGAGGGAGGAGCTGTTCTTCAAGCTGAGGGAAGTGAAAGCTCTGCTGTAGAAAGAAAGCTGTAGAAAGCTCTGCTGTAAACACTGAACCTCATACAACAGGTTTCTCATGGTTTAGAAAGAACTCAGATTTCATTCCGATTTGAGACGTAATGTAGAAGTATTGAGAATAAACTGGGTTAATATTTATGTAGTGCTGACAGCAATTTAAAGCTGCTGACTTGCTAGTTTCTTTGGTAGCTGAATTTTTCACAAAGATTTTTGACATTATTCCAGTTCCCACGGAAAAATGTGACTCTCCACCGTCTATTGCAAATGGAGCTCTTACTCTCCCGCCTCTGACCCAGTATGACAATGGCTCTTCAGTTCAGTATAGTTGCTCTGATTATTACTTCTTGCAAGGATCTGAAAGAATTTATTGTTCCGAAGGCCAGTGGACTTCACCACCACTTTGTATAGGTAGGCACAAGAAGATATATATGAGCATTTATTTCTGGTTGTTAGATGTGAACCATTTATAGATTGATGCTCAGTATTTATAGATTTTGAGTGTTGTCAGCTGGAACATTATTAAGATCTCGACTGTATTTTTCAGTTAGAGAGGAATGGCCTGTTTTAATAGAAGCAAGTAAAACCTCGATTGGCTTTTTTAAAGTAAGTACATCTTACGTGCCAGCTGTGTCCAAAATACAGTGATTTCATGTATAATATCTTAAGAGAATGGGGAATAACCTGCCTTTTGAGCATCAACTCTAGTCACAACAATCTGATTTCAAAAATAATTGATTTCTTAACACTGAATATATCTCTATTCGTTAGAGCCATGCACTTTGTCAAAGAATGAGATGGAAAAAAATAACGTGCTGCTGGAAAGTTTTTATGAGAGCCAAGTTTACTTTTACCATGGAGATTATGTCGGATTTTACTGCAGACAGAACCATGTTGGAGCAGAATCTGGTGCGACTTTATTTCAAGTGCAGTGCAAGAGAGGACAGCTAGCGTATCCAAGATGTGTTGAAAGGAGAGAATAGGTAAGTATGACTTTAAAAAAATGTATTGGACAGATATGTATGTATGTGTTCTTTATCTAGTGTTGATTAAGGTGGCCTCCTACCTTCAAGATGACTACAGTTGACTTTGAGAAAGGAGTGTTCAGTGGCATTGTTGAATCTGAGTCGAAAAGAGAAGGAAATGAGAAAATGTTCTATAGACTGAGGACTGAGTATATAGCAGTACAATGCAATATTAACAGACTGTGTGTGCAAATGTTAGGAAGAAGAATTCTATGAGGCTTCTGCCAATGCATCTGTACACAAGAGAATGTCAAAAGGAGTATTTGTGTTTGTGGAACTTGGATTTTAGTTACTTTGTGTAGGCAGTACAGGTGATGAATCGTACATCACTGTATTCAGCTTATCGCTGCATTTTCACTAGGACTGTTTTCATAATACTGGTTACTATTATTAATGTTGCTCACATATTGCCAAGATTTCTTCTCATTCTGTTGCTGTCATTGCATTCAACGTTATGCATTTGTTTTTCTACCAGATCTTCAGCCCTGGCTGAAGCCGGGGGGGAGGAAGAAATCCCCTTTAGTAACAATACATGGCAGATGAATGCCATTTTGCAAGGCTGCGAAGATGAGCACATAAAGTAAATAATAATGCGATGCAGTAGCCTATCGCTTTGCACTGAAAGTACTGGCAGTGCTTTTCCTGTCATCTGGATAAGGTTTTGAAACAAGAGGCTTCATCAAAGTTGATAAACAAACAAACAAACAAGCCCAACATGCACTTCTTCTCAATATGAACGTTTAAAATACACTGTCTACCTCTCTCATTCCCACAGTCCAGACAGCTAAATGGAACCCCTCCGCAATATGGAGCACCAGCTCTTCCCCCAGGACACTTCCCTGCCTTATATGATCCGTGGTCCTCTAACAGAGTAACTGAGTGAGATCACCGCTGTCAAATCTGTACATTAAATGGCATTAAAGCTCAATTTCTTCTCTTTTCTTTTTCTTTCTTTTTTTTTTTTTTTTTTTTTTTTGATAGTCTAAACAGAAGCTTTAATAGCTTCTTGCTACTCTCAATGGATTTATCTTGTGCAGGGGTACTTGCACCCTACCCTGGAGCCCTACTGTTCTATTGGACCTTCAGCATTGATTCATCCCAGTCTTCAGCTGAAAGATTCCCTCTTCTCCAAGTTCCTGCAACAAAAGACCTGTCTGTGCAAGGGGAGTCAGCAGGCCTTTGTTCCCTTGAGATCTTATCCCAAGAAATCATGTCCAATTATTTGGTGACCAAAGCAAGGTTTTAGCTGTCCTGCAATTTCCCTCATCAGTAAAAGCAACATCAGGAAAATCAGGTACTACTTACTTGCTCTATTTTCTTAGAACTCAACTCATGTTTATACCCCTCTTGAATACCGAGACTGTGAGACTCCATTAACAGTACACAAATGCAGCATATTGCGTTGGTTAATTTTCATGAGCTTGGCTGAATGAATTCGGTGAAGTTAAATAAAAATCTCTCTGTACTGAAGGCATCTCAAGGTCAAAGAATCATCCCTTGCTGCACCGAGCTGCGTGTGCTGTGCACACTACCTTTCAAAAAATTCTTAGAAAAGTGAACTTCAAGAAAAATGAAGAGCGTATCTTCTATGAAGCTCTATCAAGAAAGGCAGTAAAAATGCTCCCCAGCGAGCAGTACACCAATGCCACATAAACACACTAGCTGTTCCTATCCATCAGCTGCAATATGTCACCATTGGATCAATTACCAAAAAAATAAATAAAGCGCAAGCGTATCAGATCCATCAGGACAGCAACGCAAGCTCACCAAAAAATGAAAAGGATGGCAGGTCTCATTTCAGGACCTGGACTGAAGGAGTTGTGCCTAACTACATCCAGAAATCCCAGTTAGTCATTTGCATCCCAGCATCTTGCCTTTCCACCAAATAACATGGAAGCTCAGGTCCTGAGTAGGAATTGGGTTCTGTGATCCAGAGATTCCCCGAGTTGTTTAAAAAAGACTCACCCTGACTCACCCTGCCTCTGCCGTCATTCCCAGGCTAAGTTCCAGGCATGTTCATGGAGGAAAAGCTAGAAGCAGATGAGGCAAAACACACTGATAATCAAATTACCTGCAGGCTTTTTAATTCTTGACTCAATATGCCACTGAAGCCAGCCTACTTCAGGATGACAATGTAAATAAAAGTAACAGGGATCAATGCAGAATAGGCAAGAGGCAAGTAAGTACACTCAGGTGGATGAAATGTAAACACAATTACAGAATGTAAATAAATTTACAAAAAATGGTTAAATTTAAACAAAATCATCCAATAGTATAAAGAAAATGAATTAGCACATTCCAGCAGAGAACACTGTCTAAGCTATAAAGCACAATAAAGCAGGAAACTCTGGGAAAACTTGAGCTCAAATCACTGGATTTGTTGAAGGAGAGTTCATTTCTCCAGCTGGACTCAGTCATGTCATTTCCATATATCCAGATGCTCCTGCATTGTAAAGAGACAGAAGGGGAAATAGAGATCTGGCTGATATATTTTCACGTTTCCCCAGAGCAGAGAAAAGCAGTTGCCAACCACGCTCCCTGTTGAATTCAATTCCCCAGGTCCCTTGGAACAGGAGCAGCTCCTCCATGACAGATGCAGGCTGGTATGGGATTAAAGGAATCTGACCCTCTGTTTACAACAGTCCTTCTTGGCTGTTGCTTACAGTTCTTTTACAGCCCCCTGTGTCCTCCCATATGAGCTACTTACTGTGCATTGAGGGTACTCAATTACTCCATCCAGACACTGTGGGTTAAATTTCTCCGGTCTTGAAACTGCCCTATGAAGCCACTTGCATGTAAAGGAAATACGTTCCTTAGAGCGATAGGTGTAAGGCTTTCTCCATTCTAGTTTAATGTTGTTCTTATCCATTTCTGACTCAAGCACTGTGCAGTCACCTGGAAAACAAAAAGCTCCGCTAACCACGTGAAGTATTCTCACGATTTGCCTGTAGATCTCACACTGGCAGCCAAGTCTCTGAAGAAGTTGGTACCAATTAGTGCCTCAAACACTTATTCTGCTTCCCTTTTGTGAAATATAATGCAGACTGTGAAGGAAAAAAGCTCATTTCATACTCTTTAGCAATGATCCAGTAAGGCCTGCTCATGGAAACTGTAGAAGGGGACAAGCAGAGATTTCCCTTCTGAGAAGCCTACAAAGGCTTGCAATGGGCACGAGCTGCTGTCTCTACACATATCAGAACATGGTATGAGCAGAGAGGAGCTGAAAAGGCCACAGAGGTACAAAGGGGGTCACAGCATGGCAGCAACCCAGGAGAGAAGCTCACTGGAGCAAAACCCTGCCTAAACAGGCAGGCTTGGGAGAGACTGCAATGAAATTGTTTGCTGTCCCACCACGGTCGGGGAAACAATTTCAGGGATATCACTTTCAGGGAACTCACGAGCTCTTCAGTCCTCCCTGGAATTAGACAGGCAGTCAAAGAACAAATTACCCTAGCGTGCAACTTGGTGATTCCCTTCCTCTCAGATACTCCTGTCAGCAGCACCTGAAACATAACCCACCATGGCCTACAGCTTTATGGGATTTCCCACACCCTGGTTCTCTGTTATTACTTCCCCAGGCACACTTGCTAAAGGCTTCCCTTTCAGTTTCTGCACTAACTATGCAAAAAACAGCAGCCAAACAATGGCAAATGGAGAAGACTTACGTCCTGGATTGCACCATGGATATTTAAATGTGCCATTAATACATTGTACTCTGAATGGAGAAGAAGTTGGGTCTTTCACATTTCCTATTTTACAATCAAATTCGATAAAATCACCCGATTCGGAATACAGCTTTTTCTCGTCCCTCCATCTCAGCTCAATGTTGTTATTGTTCATATCTTCTTCAGCTGCTGTACAGGCCGCTGGGAAAAGGAAAGAGAACATTGTCACCAATTCATACAGATGCACCACATGTAATTTTTTTGTCCCTACAGAGGTTCTTCACATCATAAAATGTTTCCAGGACTTTGCTCTGAGCCTCTGCTTTTTGCAACAGGAAAGATATCTTCATCAAAAATGAAGGGGAAAAAAGATGATGGTTGAATCAATGTGCAGTGCTGCGGAGAGGCCATTTCAGTCTGAGAGTCACACGGGGCAAAGGGGAAGCAGAGCCTGGGGCAGGGGAACTCAGCAGGCAGCATTCAGCTTTCCTGTACCTTTTTTCAGAATCCTCCTTGTCCCAGCATGTCTTTAAATTCATTTTCTCATGGTCACATCACCCCTGGATTTACCGCATTCAGACAGACCCAACCTCCCCATTGCAGCCTGCAGACTGTGGCAGTGTCCTCAACGTGGGAGCCCGGCACACTGATGGAGATCTCCTCACATGGGCAGCTCAGCCAAACTCCCCTCCTTCTGTGGGTGAGAGGAGGCAAGGAGAGGCTGCAGGCAGCAGTGGGGACCACACAAGCTGACATTGAGAAGAAATTCCTTCTAGATAAAAGGAAGACTTGTTGCTGTCAACCACAGCAGAAGTGCTGTTTCACAAGGGAAGTGCATTGGAAACACCTTCAGGATCTGAGAAAAAGTCAGCGTGAGCAGTAACACAGCTTTTGGCCATGTAGCACATGCTTTAAACCTACCTAAGCAAACCGGTGGATTTGTCCACTGCCCATTAATACATCTGATCAGCGAAGATCCTTCCAGGATGTAGAGATTAGGGCATTTATATTGCAGAGTTTCACCTTGTGAATATTCTGACTTTGGGAAGGAAAGAATATCTCCATTTTCAATATCTGGAGGTGGGCCACATTTTCCACTCTTTCCTGGAAGAACGTTAACGCTTAGAGAAAAATGCATCAGAGTTTAATTGCAGGAGCAGCCTAGCCTTGAATATTTTGGTAAACTACCTTGCCCATACTTAGAGACACTCAGAGGAAAGCAGAGAAAATTGCCACCTTGACACCAAATATCTGGCAGATGGAGAAGAGTGAGAGTTTCCCATTTTTCCACTGCTGGGACTCATAACTACCAGTTCATCCATCTGTCATCTCTGGAGCATTTGCTGCTTTCTGGAAGACTTTCACTGGTCCTACACAATAGTGCAGGATGTTTGGCACAGCTCTTTCTGCAGAACTGGATGCCCACCAGCTCTCTGTAATGCCTGAGCAGGGACAAGTGTGAACCTCTCTGTACACTAGAACAAATGACACTGGAAGATACAATTTCAGTTAATGGCAGGGCAGACCTCGGGCTCTGGGGAGTCCTTACGTGACAGATGCATCGCATTGCACTTGCTTGCAGCTCAGAGACTGAAATTTGGAGAAGTAAATACCTCTGAGCCAGCTCGATAGCAGTCTCACCAACAGGCTACTGTATGGAAAGACAGGAAAAGTACCTCTGCACGTGGGCAGCTCTGTCCAGTTCCCATTCTGACAGCTTATGGTGGAAGCTCCAGTCATACGAAAACCTTTCCAGCACTCATATTTAGCTGTCTCCCCAGGCAAATACTTGGACTTCTTAACACCTTGAACTTTACCACCAGCGATTTCTGGAGGAGGTCCACACCTCATATCTGAAAAGAGATACTTGTACAGTTGCAGTTATAGTCATTGAGGTGTTTCCCTATGCCAATTTTAGGTAAGGGAATTGATCTCGTTACTCCCTAGCTCACACAATTTCTGTCCAGAGCTTCTAATGCCTTCATAATAATTTTTTCATATTTTTCCTCCTGGCCACAAGAGCGTACCGGGGTAAAACACTGTGAACACCAGGAATGTGGGCAGGAGTGTTACTTCAAATGACAGCAGCAGCAGAACGCTTATTTGTGGACTCTCAGGAGATGGCAGTGTCAATGAGAGAGTCTAAAAAAAGCCAGCATTTCTGTAGCTATACCTTATGGCACAAAAGTTCTTTTAGTTAAGCCACAGCTCTCCCCAGAGAACCCTGGCATTTCTGAAAAATCACAGATGTAGCAGCCAAGCTGGCCCTCTGATGAACTGCAGAGCTCTGGAAGAAGTCGTCAGCCTGCACTGCATGGGCAGATATGTGCAGTCAACTCCTCAGAAGTATGTGAAAGCCAAATAGCAGCAGTTCACCCTCCAGCCACAGATTTTGTCAGGTAAAGGAAGACAGCACATTGCCTTTTTGTGGGAACGTTCTTGCCATTTCAAGATTCTAGCAGATCTGCAGTTTTTACATCCTGAGATTCTAGTGGAATCTCTATCAGTTAGAGCTGACCCTCAGAAAAAATGGCTAGATCTCTCCCCCACTACTTCCATTCAGACAGTTATATTTTTCTAGAGAAGGCCAATAACACAGTGTATTTTGGGGAATAACAAGTATCATAGTGGAAAATGAAAAATCATCATTTTTTTTAATGCCCTTTTTCTTTAAGAGGTTTTTGCTTTCAATGAAAATGTACATAGTATTTCCAGAAGCAATAAGTTCAAGTGCTGTGCAAGAAAGCAGTAGTAGGTACAAAGCTGCGGTACAAAATGAAAATATCAAGTTTTCAAGTATTTAGGTAAA